CGGGCGGCACCCAGCTTGCAGCCGGCCCGGACCCTCCCTGGGGGTGCTCGGCTGGCCCGACTGCGCCCCCAGACCGACATGGGCCCCCCAGCTGCTACTTCGGAGTCTTTAGAACTGGATGCCAGCCCCGAACCCAGCCCTGCACGAACTGCGGTGACCTTGAGCAGGTCGTCACCCCGAAGGCCCTCCCCTTGTCTTTGAGGAGGGGAAACGGCCACTTCTCGCAGAGGACGGGCTGAGGACCCCGGGAGAGAAGGGATGAGTCAGAGCCCCCAGAGCTCCCGACACCACCGCTGTCCACCGCTCTTGTGTCCGTCCCCGTCCACTCTTCACCAGGCATGTCTGGGTCCCTCAGGGTCAGCCAGGTACTACTGGCCTCCAGCCTGGTGGCCAACCAGACGCAGCAGCCCTGCTTCAGGGCTCTCTGCAGTGGGGCAGACGGACCGATGTGGCACTGAGGAAGTTCCCGCAGCCAGCGGAGGGCCAGCTTCTCGATGGCCTGCCCAGAACCCCAGGCCAGAACCAGGGCTGCTTCCCCAGGAGAGGCTGAAGGTGCTGAGGCTGGGGAGGGACTCCCTGGAGTGGGGGGGGGGAGAAGCGGTCCAGACCGAGGAGCCACCTGGTAAAGGCCCTGTGTCCAGCGGGGGGGCAAGAGGGAGGGGAGGGGAGGCCTGGACCACTGAACGTCACTGGCTGCTGCAGGAGCAGGTGACCGACGCTTGGCCAAGTCACCCTTCCCACACACACCCCCAGCCTGCCCAGCACCTCCCCTCTGGGTCTCTTATCTTTTCCAAAATATTCTCCATGCCCAGCTCTGAGGAGTGAGGAGGGCCCTGTCCGCATTGCTGCAGTGTGCAAGTCCCTTCTCCAGAGGCGCCGGCCGAGCCAGGCACCGCGTCAGGGTAACTACTGCCATCCGAGCTTCTCAGGCCATGACTCCTGCACCCAGGAGAGGCCTGGGGTCCCAGGGTGCCCAGGGAAGTGTAACTGGGGTGACAAAGGCTCCCCTGGGGAGCCGAGGGGGCAGTATCCGGGTTCCTGAAGCCGGGCTCTGCGACTGCGATTGGCTGGCTGGGTGCCCACCACCCTCTGGCATAAGTAAGTCCTCCGTCCCGTCCCCGTGTGTGGGTCTCACCTTCCCAGGAAGGACAAAGCAGCGACCCCATTCTCTTCGTCCCCGCTTCCCCCAGCTGCTCTCCAGGCCCCTCTGCCAGCTACAGTGGACCCCCGCCCCACGTTTCCCACCGACTGGCACAGAGGTTTGTGTTCTGTGTTAACACGTGCTGCCCAAACCCCCTCTTTTTTGTAATTTAATTTAATTTAGTATTATTATTATTAATCTGCTATAGGCACATGCGTTCACCAGAGAGAGAGAGAGAAAGCCACCAGGTCTGGGACTCAAAGCCCAGTGGGCCACATGGGAGTTCAGCGCCTTTAACGGCCACACCACCTGCGGCCCCAGACCGCCTCTTCTAAGGGGCCTGGCACCCTGAGGACCGGGGCAGGGATGTTGGGGCAGGAGAGGTGCTACTTTTCAGACTCTGGCCTCCTCCCTGCCCTTCCAACGAGCAGTCTCCTACCCCAGGCATTTGCTCTTGCGCTTCACCCCGGCAGGCCCAGCCACCGTGCTGGCTGCCCATGCTTCAGCCTAAGCGCTGGCCCGCCCGCCTCTACCTGCTGCCTGTCCTGGGGGGCCCACCTGCTGCCTGTCCTGGGAGGCCAGCGGCCGGGCGCCCATCTGCTCAATCCCAGCACGCCCGCCGTGGGGGTGCCGGCCCCCCGGCCGTGCCGTCCCCTCAGTGCTCCCTGGATGCATGGCTGATTAAGAAAGGCAGTGCCAACTTTTTAAAATTTTTGCTAGCGACCCAGGTGTGCTTGCCAGAGGGAGAGGGAGGGAGATGGAGAAAGCCCTCCCCATGGGACAGTCATGCCTCAGCCCCTTCCCCTCCATCTCTCCCCTCCAGCATTTTGGTCATGCACCCACATCTGCCTGTACGTTTTCCAAACCAGCAGTCCGGGCACGCCACCAGCCGGGCCTCCACAGCCGTGTTAAAGGGCACCCAGTGGGCCTTCCGCAGGCGGTCATGGAGCGGTCAAGGTTCCACGGACGTGTGCACTCGAGTCTAACACCCCTGAAAGACAATTTCATCTCTGTGATCACAGACCCACGTGGAATCCCGCTAGCCCCCTCTGGTGGAGAGCTGGCCGGGTGCCAGCCACCGAAGTGCTCTGTGACAATCTCGCCTAGTCCTCGTCAGCGCCAGCACGCGGTTCCTCCGCCGCTGCCCCATCGCAGTGGTCAGGTTACCGTGCGCCACCGCGCAGCCTTCAGGACCAGACCAGTCACCCCACACGCTCCGCCCAACAATTCCCCACGGTGGAGGTGACAAGTCACCGAAATGTGGAAGAACTAGGGGAGTGTCCTGAGCCGGGTAGCCCGGGCAGACATGCCTCACTCCTGGCTTACCGAAGTCTGGGGTCTGCTTGGGGCTTCCCCATCCCTGCTGCAGCGGAGGGCATCAGAGCACCAGGCAGTCAGGGCGGAGCTCCCCGGGGAGCCATTAGCAATTTCCTGCGGGGGGGGGGATGTGGCCCCACCCGCAGAGCAGAGTGCAGCTAGCTGTCTCCCGGCACCGCACCCAGCTCCTCTCAGGCTGGCGCCCTCGGTGAGGCCAAGGCTGCAAGATATCCATAAAATAATAACCACTTGCATCTGAAGCACTTTGGAGTTTCCAGAGCATAGGAGGTCAGGATTCATTCTCCTCGTTTACTGCGAGGAAGACAGCCAGCGACAGAGCCGAGATGCCGTCCCCAACGACACAGCAAAGCGGTGACAGAAAAGGGGGTGCTGCCGTCTGCCTAGCTGCTCATGCTGGAGACCGCAGAGTCACTCTTTTTCAAAAGAGAATGATCTATTGAGTTTTACTTGTTGTTATTATTTATTTTAAAATTTGACCAGAGAGAGAAAGGGAAGGTGAGAAAGCAAGCTGCCAGGACTGGGACTCGAACCAGTCGGCCATGTGGGCGTTCCGTGCCACAACCACCACACCACCGACTGGCCCCGCTACAACACAGTTAACAGTAACCTTGCCTAACATCAGTAACAATAACCAGGCCAGCCGGTGGTGTGGTGGCTAAGGTGACGACCCCGTGTGGCCAACTACACGATTCTAGTCCTGGGCCCAGAGACGTCACAAACACATCAGGTGCACGGAGAGAGGGAGAAGCGGTTGCAATGACCGCTGCCCTGGGGGCTCCCCCGCAGGTGCTTCCTGTCCTTCCCTCTCTGTCTCTCTGTCTCTCGCGTGCAGCCTTTGGCAAACTTAAATAAATAACAGTGGCCACGTCCCGCAGGGAGCAGGCACCCCAGTAGTGGACCAGGGGATTGGGTTGCCATGGGCCCTGGGAAGGCGCTCGTGTCCGGCCCCTGCCCGGAGGTGACACCGTGCACCGGATTTCAGGACTCACTGTGCTGTCTGGGGTGGAGTGATGAGGGAAGGGTTGGGGGGGACTCAAAGGATGAATGAGCAGCAGCAGGAAGAGACGTGGTGGGTAGAGGATGGTCAGACCACCCGAGTGCCCCAGGCAGGAGGCAAGGGGCCCCAGGGCACAGCCAGGCCGCCAAGTGTGGCCTGCAGGGAGAAGGCTGTCCTCCCCAGAACAGCACACACCTCCCGCCTGAACCCAGGGCACGGAGCAGGCAGCAAGCTTTGAAAACACCCAGCTCCGGTTTTCTGTCGAGGAATCACTTCTTCCTCCCCCTTTCCTCTCTGCTTACCCCTCAGCTCCCTGCCCCACCCAGACCTCGCCTCCCCGGAGCCCCAGTGTCCACCACCCCCCGCTCTGCTCCCCCACCACGACCAAGACTGTCAGGGCCTGTCCTGCTGCCCTTGGTCACCACCCTCCCGTGCCCAGGGTACTAAACATGGCTTCCCAGGGACCAGCAAATGACATAACGGTTACATGGCTGGACTCTCATGTGGTCAACTGTGGTTCGAGTCCCAGACCTGGTGACTTAAAACTCACTCCAGGCACATGTGCGTGTGTGCCCAAAATCCTGAGAGGAGAACGGAGAAGGGATTGTGGCATGGCCATCCCCTCTGGGGACTGATTTTTCACTCTGCCTCTCTCTGTGTCTCTCTCTCCTCTGGTGAGCAAACACACTCTTATGACAAAAACCTAAAAAAAAAAAAAAAAAAGACACTCTGCAAGGTTGACCCTCACAGGAAGGCCCCCGAGTGTGCGGGACACACACGCCTGTGATCTGGCAGCAGCTGGGGGTGGAGCAGGGCATCCAAACCTTGCTGGGGATGCTGTCTCTCTGTCTCTTGATCTCTCTGTCTCTCCTGCCATATAGACACAAATAAACCTTAAGAGAAAGGAAAGCTTGCTTTGGCCTGACTTGCCAGATGGGGACCCCCACGGCATGTCCTGTCTCCTTCCACGGACCCCTTCTGTCCCTCTCCCTCTGGTCCTGAGCCAGAGGTGGTTCTGGGGAGCTGGGCTGGTACTCAGCCCTGACAGCCATCCCTTCCTCTCCCCGCTGATGACCCTCGCCTCCTGGTTGGGCACCAGGGCCAGTGTGGCGGGTGGCCCAGTGACACACAGCTTCGGGGGCACAGGGCTCACAGTCAGCGGCCAGAAGCACAGGACCCCAGAACGGAAAGGAGAGTATGGGTGCCATCCAGCCCACCCTCCCACGGGTCACAGAAGGGGCCCAGGGCCAGAGCGTGACGTGACTTCCCCAAGTCACACGCGAGTTAGCCGCAGAGGCCAGACCAGAGCCGTGTCTCCCGAGTCCTGTACACGCGCCCCGTCAGCGGGGTGCCGTGGACAGCTGCACCCCTCATGGGCCAGGCACTCTGAAGGATTCTACGTGCGTTTCATTTAACCCTCAAGGAACTCTCTCAGGGACGGGCCACGACCCCCATGTACAGAGTGGGACTCCTGGGTCCAGAGCCGTGCAGGAGCTCCGTGACGTCACACAGCTCATGCAGGGGCCAGGATCCAGGCCTCGTACTGCAGACACCTTCCCGGCCCCAGGAAACGCCAAGTGCAGCCTCAGTCCCTGGGCTGTGGAGGGGACACTGAGCTCCCCTGGAAGGGTTTTCCAGCAGGGGCAGGCCGTTTGCTAGCTGCCTGGGCGGGTGGGGGGATTTCTGCTCCCCCTGCTTGCTTTCACACATCCTGCCCAGAGCCGGGAAGGCATCGTGGCAACTGCAGGGGTTCCGGGGAGCTGAACCGGCCTGACTCAGCAAGGCAAACCAGTGGCCTCCAGGTCAGAGCAGGTGCAGAGCCAGCCAGAGGCCGGGACCAGCCCACAGCAGACCTGAGGCTGTGGTCAGCCCTGGGACTTGCAAAGTGGGGCCTCGCAGGTTGTTTGCTCTCTCTGAGCCCAAGGGTCCCCTCTCAACATGCACAAACCAGACAGGCCACGCTAGCACCGTCGTTAACGCCTTCTCCGACATGGCGCACCCTCGCGGCCGCCCCAGGCTCCTCACCCTGCACTCGTGCACGCCTCATTCTCAAGCCGCCAGGCTGGAGGCTCAAACCGCAAAGCTGGCCGGGGATCCAGCACCGTGACCACCAGCCACCTGCAGGCCCAGAAGACCTACCTGGAACAGCACCAGATGGGCACCCTTCGCCACAAGGCAGGAAGGCCCAGGCTCCCAGGAGGAAGCCTCCACGCGTGACAACAGCCCAGGAGCCTCGAGGCTGGCCCTGGCTGCCCTCTGGAGGAGC